TTTAGCTTATAACACCAGAGGAAGTAACGTAGTTTTGTTTCTGACTTAGTCGAAAGTTGGATGAAGACTCTCCAGAGAGAATGATCTCTCTCTAAATCCTGAGGTCCACGAACCACAGCATCAAAGAGAAATCCACTCCTCTAAACATGTGTTACTGGTCTAGTTTAAAACTAGGAGGTTCCCTAAATTGGTGAATTTCCAATCGTTTTGCTTTGCTATGTGATTCTGGCAGTTACTGACCTAACGCTTAAGTTGACAGCGGCTTGATGTATTAAGATCAGGGGATCAGACTCAGGCACTCCCATTTCTAAGTTATAGCCGTTCCAAACTGTCAGCTCTCGAATTCTCAAAGGCCTTCCGACTCTGCTGAAACTGCCAGTATTCCAGGAAATGTACCAGATGTTACTTCCTGTCCACATAGCAAAACTTTAACTATGTCATTTCTCAGTGTAAAAAAGGTGGCCATCTGCCGGATCTTTGTTTGTATATTACGTGATCTTATCTTAATACAATTTCAATTAATACGAAAGAGTCCAACAAATTACAATGAATGGTTACACATTCTTTCTGGGTTTCCCACCAAAATCCTATATGCAAGCGTCTTTCACTTCCCTTATTGTCGAAGACCAAATTTCACATCAATAAAGAACCAGAGGCAAAATTATAGTTTTTTATATTCTAACTCTTACGGTTTTAGACTGCACATGAGAAGTAAAAGATTCTAGACTGAATGGTAGCAGGCATTATCCGAATTCAATCTCCTATTAATTTCCTCCTGAATCAAATTTGTATTTGTTACTGTTCCCAAATATTTGAACTGTGTCACATTTTCAAAGCATCTGTTAGCTATCTTTATGTAATGATTTTGCTGTGCATTCTGGTGATGAGACACAGCATATACTTGGTATTTTCTGCGTTTACTTCTAAAACAACATCCTTACTGGCGTCAATTAGAGTTGTTTTTCTTTGTGGTATCTATGTTATCTCCCAGTAGAATCACATCATCAGCATAGACCAGCAGCTGATGTGTCCCATTTAATTTCACTACCACCTAGTTTCCTGGACTTTCCTAATGATATTTCTAAATCAAAGGTGAAAAGCAATGGCGATAAAGCATCTCCTTGTTTAATACCATCTTCAATTAAAATTACGGCATAAAAATTATCCTCTGCATATTATCTACTAATAGTGCTCAACTACGTGCCATACTAGGAATATTTTAGTTGTGTGAAGTGACCTGTTTTCTTGGCGTAAGCATACTCTGTTCCACTCTGTACAACTTAAATCGGACATGACCAATTTTTATGTTTTTCGGTGACAAGATATTCCCTCATTCTTGCAGGGCTTTTATGTTCAAGGTCATGTTAGGTTTATATTTAGTCGCGTTTAATTTTCGGAATATCGGTCACTTGTATTCGTTTCTTTTCATCGACTTCATCAACCTATTTTTATGTAAAATTCAGCACTGCAAAAAAGACATGAGCCACAAGTACTTCCTAGCCGCCGAACTTTCGCTCGTCGTGTTTCAGAATCCGCTGCTCTCCATAAGAATAGGCCTATGCACGGATAGACTGGGTTCAATTGTGGGGGGGAGGGCGAACTTCCGTGGGAAAATGCTCAAAAATGAAACAAAAATCATCTTCCACACAAAAAACAAGATGAACTCTCATAGTAACCATTTTTAATCGCACAGTCCGGCTTCCATTACTGTTCCATCCTGAAGATGGACGCAGACCGTTCCTCCTAGATGCCAATGAAGTTATACCGGACTACACGACGTTATAGGGGTCAAGGGGTAACCCAACTTAGCAATGGGTAGGAAGCAAGCTTCATGCTGATGGGCCTGTTTCGTTCACATTTGGCCCTACACAAGTTCAAAATTTCGAAGGAGATAATACCGGCCTCAAGCAGCAGTCGCGACCTGATAACATGTGAGAACTGCCTTGCAATGGGTTGCAAATTATGGTATTGTGTTCTAACATGCGTATTGTATAATATTCTGATAAGAACTTGGGATACGCATGAAACTAGTCAGGCTGATTAAAAGGTGTTTAAACGAAACGTATGGTAAAGTTCGTACAGGTAAACATTTGTCTGATAAATTTCCTATCCACAATGGTCTAAAACAAGGAGATGTTTTATCGTCACTCCTTTTCAACTTTGCTTTAGAATATGCTATTAGGAAGGTCCAGGGAAACCAGGTGGGACTGAAATTTAATAGGACACATCAGGTGTTGGTCTATGCTGATGATGTGAATCTACTGGGTGATAATACAGCTGCCATAAAGAAAAACACACACACTTTATTTGCCGCTAGTAAGGAAGTTGGTTTAGAAGTAAACACAAAGAAAACTATGTATGTGTTGCTATCTCGTGACCAAAATGCAGGGCAAACTTATGACATAAAAATAGGTAACAGATGTTTCGAAAATGTTGCAGAGTTCAGATATTTGGGAACGACGATAACAAATCAAAACCTGATTGAGGAGGAAATTAAGAGGAGATTGAACTCGGGCAATGCTTGCGACCATTCAGTCCAGAACCTTATGTCCTCTCATCTGCTGTCTAAAAACTTAAAAATTAGAATATAAAAAACTATAATCTTGCCGGTGGTTCTGTATGGGTGTGAAACTTGGTCTCTGACATTAAGGGAGGGACATAGACTGAGGGTGTGTGAGAACAGGGTGTTGGGGAGAATATTTGGACCGAAGAGAAATGAAGTGACAGGAGGTTGGAGAAAACTGCATAATGAGGAGCTTCATAACTTGTACTCTTCTCCAAGTATAATTAGAATGATCAAGTCGAGAAGGATGAGGTGGACAGGGCATGTTACAAGAATGGGGGAGAGGTGTAATGCATATTCGATGTTGGAGGGAAAGCCGGAAGACCAAGCGAAGACCAAGCGAAAACCAAGACGTAGGTGGGTGGACAATATTACGTAAATGGATCTTAGAGAGATAGGATGGGATGGATTGGACTGATCTGGCTCAGGATAGGCACAGAGTGGGGGGCTCTTGTGAACACGGTAATGAACCTTCGGGTTCCATAAAATGCTGGGAAATTCTTGAGTAGCTGCACAATTGGCGGCTCCTTCAGAAGGGCTCAGCTCCATGAGTGAGTGAGTGAGTGATTCAACATGCATAGTTTTGTACCATTCCCCGCTGTTGTTATCCAAGTGTTAATATGTAATCGCTTAAAGTACACTGGCATATATATACAGCAATCCCTAGCTAATCAGGTTTTTTTTTTGTGGTGGGGTGAGACTGAATCTACTTGGTACGTCGGCCAATATTTGGCCTATTGTATCAGCCCCGGATGGTAGATGATGATGATAATGATGATGATTATGGAGCATTCGGTGGAATGAAAATTGGCAAGGGAGACCGAAGCACTCGGAGAAAACCTGCCGCAGTGCCAATTTGTCGACCACGAATCCCACAACACCTGACCTGTGTTCGAACCCGGGCAGCCGCGGTGGGAAACCAGCACATGACCGCCTGAGCTATGGCACGGCCCTCCGATTACAGTTAATCCGGATCGAAATATGAAAAATTAAAAATTCTCCTCGCAGTTGAGTACATGCTTTAAAAGACACGTGGGATTTAGGGGCAAGAGGGATTAAAGGAAGAGGACTTTAAGACGGTGTTGAGGGCAGCTGGAGAGACTGAAAAGACGCAAGAAAATCTCAAAGACTGGCTTGAGCTGGATGAAGAAGACCCATGATTTCAGCTTCTGACAGAGGAAGAAATTGCTGCAATGATATTTTTTATTAATTTAATCAGCACTACCTATATTATTCAATTTTCCATTTATTTGTTTTCTAATGGTTTTTGTTTTGTTTTTAGGGCTAAATAATCCGTATTATCCAGTGTTTAATATTATATATTGTAACGGATTTGATCAATGCGTTGCCAGGCAACAGCTCTGTAAACACGGTCCAGCATGCAATAGATGAAGTTGTGTTTTCTGTGTCGTCCGCGCCACATCCAGCGCTGCTAACGGACCAATTAACTCGCAGTCTGACATGACACGTGTTTTCTGTGTGATCTGCATCATGCAACAATACAGGGATGTGTTTTCTGTGCGTGGTCCGTGCCGAGATGATATGTGAGCATACGGGAGTGGGAATTGACTAGACTTGAGTTCCGAAGTTCCAAGGGAACATCAGTTTGCCCAGAAGAAGAATTATAAGACTTACTGTGTGACGTTACATGTGCTGTAGTACGTCGACATCAGGAGTGTATAATTAGTGAAACTTTTACAGTTCCTGTTATAAATCCGTTGCTGGGAAACGGATAGTGAAGAACAATGGAACTAGACTGAGAAGATTATTTCGGAGTAATTGTAAAATGTGTGAATGAATTAGTGTAATAATTAATTGTAAATTGTAAATCCAATTACCAATCCGAACCCTGTCTGTATTCACTGATACATATTACAATTTATAAACATACATAAACCCGACGGTTTAACATTAAAAAACTCTTCATTCTGCCCACAGAGTGTATTTGTGTGTTCCATATGATTCTCACAATAAACCGGTTGGGCTTTGTAGCCTAGACCAAGTGTGTTTTCTGTCATGTAGATGAATTTCTGCTTTTAAATGGGTTAGATACAATTCTTGGCACCGGTGAAAGATGGCCATGTATTAGGGTGCCACATTCGCAATAGAAATCTTGCATTCCACGCAGTCTAGAAAACAGACCTACTGGACTGAAATCTCGGCTACAATAATAACAGCATATAATCGAAGTCGAAACAATCAAACCAAACTTTCGCCCAAAACACGCGTCTTCAAACCTCGGAACGGTAGGTCTATAAACTGATACTACAAAACCGGCACAAGGTTTACGCAATTAACGCCGTTGTGATTCTCGCACGAATTTCAAACATTTCGCTTCGTATCAATGGAGCCTCGCAGGACCACTGCTTCGTGAACCGTCCGCGTTTGTACACCCCTGTGTTCTACTGAAATGTGAAATGTTGAGAGGGTTGCTCACCAAATGAGGTGCAGAACGAAGAGGAAGACCCCTGGCACCACCAGGTCATCACTTCCGACACCCCACCGCCTTCTGAACACGACAATGCCTGGCATGGTGACAGCCAGCCGCTGCTCCTTGCTGCTTTAACCCAGTCTTGAGAATATGACTTCCTTTGCGTCATCTTCAGCATAAATTCCACTTATCATTTTCCTACAATGGCTTTCCATATATCTGGCATATACTTAAGATAATACTTCAGCCCCAATATTTCGAAAACGACGGTCACTTAATAGCAAATGCGCAACTTCTATCACAGCGACATAGAACACGCGGCTAAAGACACAATATTGTTACACACAAACTGCAACAAGTAAGGTGGGAGTATACAAAATGTACAGCTTTTCATATAAGGATTACTAGTTCAGTTGAGTTGTTTTAAAGCATATCAACACTTATTAAGAACTTGCATAAAACACCAAAGGCCAACATGTACACACTGTTGATGTTTCTCTCCTGAAAGTAACAAGTTCCTTTCGGTTCGCTTAAAACAACTGCTTTTGAAAAACGTGTCGTCGTCCTCACGCTACCTTTACATAATGCATTCGACATGTTTCCTGTGAAACCTATGTTGCTAGCCGGTCTAAATTAGAGCGCGCCCTCCCTTTCCTCCTCGAGTCCATGAGAAACTGACTGGCTTCCTGCGCTCTACCTAGCTTCCTTCTCTTTCCCCAGCCAAACTCCTTTCTCATTCAACGGTGCCTGACGTCTGCACATGCGCCTCGACGCCACAGGAATAGAGTGAGCGCGAGAAGCACCTTGCTGATTATTTTGCAATAAATTATCCTGCTCCAAGCCAAGTCTCTTGCGTATTGTGTAAGCCCCCTCCCCCAAAAAACTTGTTTTCCGTCTTAATTAGCCGCTAACCAGATAATATGATCTTCTTCACTTATCATTTGCTTTCCAGACTGACTCAGGCAGTACTCATAGACACTGCTCTGCTATTTCACAAAGTCCACAAATCTCACTGCGTCACTGTGTTATACATGTAATGTATTCCTATATATGTTTTTTGTTACGGCTATCAAATTGTAACATATATTACTTATGCATGACTGCCATTCGGTTTTGCATTCTACAAAAATCAAATTACTCCTATATTACATTTTCGAGTCATTGGATATTCCAATTTCCCTAATCCTCCCAGCCGCACTATGAGCCTGGTGTCGACTTAGCCTCTAGCAGAAATGATATCAGGAATCTTTCTGTGGATAAAGGAAGCCAGGGTGTAAAGTTGCCAAAGTCAAGCCATCTGTGGGCCTATTGTCTAGAAAATGTGGGAGCCTCGACGTCTCACAACCCTAAGCGCTTTTACGGCCTGTTATAGGGATACATTTACCTTTTTTAGCCTGATATAATTTTAGTGATTAGCGCTAGTGCCGTCCCTCCTTCACCATATTGTACGCCCACCATGCTGTTATTTTTTTCCTTGGCACTACAGCCCCAGTGGGCCTAGGCCTACCTCCATGAACTTCTCCGTTCACTTCGGTTTTTCTAGATCTTAGACATGCGGTAGGACTCCGTGGGCGGGTGATAAGCTCGTCGCAAGGCCTCTACCTGTACACAAACACAGAAAAACGCACACACACAAACTAAACAGCCATGCCCTGAGTGGGATTCGAACCCACGATCCCGGCTTCCGAGCGAGCGAAGACAGTGCACGCATTAGACCGCTCGGCTACCGTGACCGGCCCATACTGTTATTACTCATTGCAAAAATGGTAAAGCTATCCTTGTAACGACCGCCTCTGTGGTCTAGTGGTCAGAGTTCCTGAGCTCGAGTCCCGGCGCTACCAGATTTTCTGAAAAGTAGCGGGTCTGGAAGGGGGTCCACCCAATAATTGAGGAGCTACTTCAATGGAAAGTAGCGGCTTCGGTCTATAAAACCGAAATTAACGGCCGTGGGGATTTGTTGCGCTGACCACGCTACACCCTCTACCCACTGAAGTTGGCACTAACTTCGTCGACAAACGGCAGGTCGGTATAGTTCGTTTGCGGAATAAAGCCACGGAGTGTTTTGTATCCCTGTAACAGGCCCTGGAGGTCCATAGTGTTGTGAGACGCCGAGAGTCCCACATTTTCTAGAGAATCGACTCACAGATGGCGGTGAGGTTGTCAGCCTTCCGCGCCGGCTGGCCGTCTTTAAACCCGAAGAAGATTCCTGGTACTTTGGACCTTGGCCGCTTTTTCAATTTCTTAATCCTATACACAGTCAGTAGGACTCCACCTACACCCAAAACAAACGCACACAGACATCCATGCCTTCAATGGGATTCGAACCCACGACTCCAGTGTTCGAGCAGACGAAGACAGTTAATGCGGGAACTGCAGGTGGATTCATACTGCTCACAATCAACCACAAGACGAACTGCCGTGTGACAAGCAGCTGTCTAGACTATTTTTATTTTGCGTTCAACTCTGCTGCTTTCTGAAACCCTCTCCTGGGATGTGATTCATGGTAAATTTTTACCAGACTATACGTGATCACATTCCAGTATCACAACTGTGAGGGATTCAAATCTCACAGCCATTTTTACCTATTGCGTTGAGCAGTAACTATTTTTTTATTGTTAGTGGGGTGTGACTAAGCCCCTTGTACTGCGGCCACTTCTGGCCTGTTGTACCAGCCCCAGATGATAGGTGATGGTGATTGTGGAGCAATTGGTGGAATGAAGATTGGCAGGGGAAACCGAAGTACTCGGAGAAGACCTGCCTCAGCGCCACTTTGTCCACAACAAATCCCACTTGACCAGACCCGGGATCGAACACGGGCCGCCGCGGTTGGAAGCCAGGGACTAACCGCTTGAGCTATGGCGTGGCCTGGGCAGTAATTAAGTCCATGGAGAACGGATTTTCTTGGGAAGCTGGCAGCTGGATTCTGAAGGTTGTGACGATGGTGTATAACACTCAGAATTACTGGGTTCCTGGACTTTGTCCATCGTTCGGTATTCTAAAAACTAAAGCACACAACGTTTCGGAAACCGGGTCTGTGTCCATCCTCAGGTGAGGGGGTGAGAGATAACTACTGTGTTGGGTCCCTCAGAAAGAGCTGACAGCAGTCGGTCCAGTGACTGAGGTTAGCTCTTTGTAACACACCCAACAAAGTAGGTGTCACCCCCTCACCTGAGGGTAGAAACAAATTCAGTCTCGGAAACGATTCTAGTTCTTAGACAAAATCCAGTAATTCTGAAAGCTAATAGTTGCTGAGCTACATAAAATAATCTCAGCCGTTTACGGAACCCGCCACTTTTAATATCCTGTTAGATGAATTCAGTCCACGCATTTCCATAGTATTTCAGTAAGATCCATTCCAATATTATCCCCTCATTTACGCCTAGATCTTCCAAATCGTCTCAGTTCTTCATTGCTCTGCAGGGCACTTTCCACTCCCCCCCACCCACTCCAGCAACCCACGCTTACCAGGGCGACGCACTGCCTGGGAAGCTTTGAAACTGGAAACTATTAGTTTTCCCCGTAACGGGCTTCAACGTGTTAACACACTGATTCCTTTAATGTTGAGACAGGCTGTACACATAATAATCACTGAAGATTAAAGGGCTGATGGAGCAAACCGAGATAGGGCAATAACACTGACTGATTCAGTCATGAGTTATTTGACCACCATGTCTGAAATGAGCGGGTAACTTGTGACATTTTGTTTGTCAACCAATGTAACTATGCCGTAAGAGGCTAACGATAACCTATCTTGTGTTCAAGAGTTGAGCTGGCCATTTCCGGAAGTTACATGGCTGGCTTATCTGTTCGGTGGAGGGGTAATACTGAGACAGATAGTACGAAAACCCTTAAACCTTAATGGAAATGATTGGCCCCCCGTTGAGGAGCAACGGCGGAAAACAGTGTTCCTAGCAGTCAAGTGTTTGTCAAGTTGGTCCAACTGTGCTAACATGCGAAACCCTGTTTCTTTCGGCAAACACTTGTCAGCTTCAGCTGTGCTGGAGCCAATAGGCTGGCTGGTGTTATTAACCGTAGTCGCGTCTGTCACCTGTAAATACAACGGCTGAACAACGCTTGTTCTAGCGGTTTATATTGCAGCAGACTTGATCAACTCGTTGCCAGGCAAGAGGTCTGTGAACACGGTCGAAAACGCAACAATAGATGAGGCTGTGTTTTCTATGTAGTCCGCGCCGATTAGCGGTGGAACAAAGGAGTTATGCAACCCGTTACTTCATAGTGATTTGAATTGCTAATTTCTGTGTTGAGATCCGTTGCTAGGAGACGACTAATGGCAACTGTGAAACCTAGTGCGTGTGCAACGGTGAAATGAAAATTCTGTAAATCAGCGAAAGCGCTGTATTGCTTGTACTTAAGAGTGTTTGTAAAGGAAGGTGTTAATAAATCCAATAATCCGAATTAAAACCCGTTAATTTCATCACGCGTACCACTCTACACGTGACAATATGCTGGGAGCATCCACGTGGTGCGATTAACGTTTCGTACGGAGAATAGACTAGGAGGGATTAACGTTTTGTTGGGAGCACCCAGTGGGCGGAATTAACGTTTTATTGGACACACACAGTGGGCGAAATTCCCGACTTCTTTGGAGACCCAGCGAGGGGATTCACATTTTGTTAAGAGAACCCAACAGGCGGGATTAGCGTACTGTTACGAGCAACCAGTGGGCAAAATTCACGGCATTTTATGAGCATCCGGTGCGAGGGATTCATGCTTTGTTAGGAGACATCGACGGGAGAGCACCCAGTGGGCGGAATTTGCATTTCGCTGGAACGCCTAGTGGGCTGAATGCCAAAGATGACCTGCAGTCTCGCAGTCATGCCTTGGATCATGCCTCAGAGGAATCCACGCTGGATCCGGCCTGTCTCACAGAGAAGCTCAGGTGTGCCGCGGGATTTGATGAAGAGATGTCAGGACAGCGTGACTGCTGTGATCAGCAGAGCAGATTGAGACAATTCCGAACTAAACAACGAAATCAAGAGTAGGTACCTAAGAGTTCACAGACTCCGTCTAAGGACCGATGGAGGGGGCCAAACGTCAGCAATCAACACCAGTAACAGAACGGGCGTGGGGCTTAGCTCCATACTTGCTAATTTCTGTAAATACGTACTGTAGTGATGGCTCCGCGTTCGTGTCATGCGAACTGCGATACGCATATCAGCCACACAGCGTTATAATAATAATAATAATAATAATAATAATAATAATAGCAATTATAATAATATTAACAGGATATTTCCCTGGGTTATGACACCGTTACACGTTAGCAAACGCCCATGACATTATGAGACGTCATAACAACA